CAATGGCATTGTGAAGATGGTGGTGTATGTAAGTGGAGTAGCGGTGGAGCGATGACAGCGGCTAGCGATTAGGGTTTCGGATATCGAAACCCCAATTGCTCTCTCTCGGCGTCTTCAACAACAAATCTTGGTTCTTCACGTTCTTCTTTTACTGTCTCCTCCACCTTTTTCTTTTACTGTATATCTTCCTCAATTCTTCTGTCCTCCCCTCTCCTCCGTGTTTTTACTTTTTGTATTTATAGATGTCAATTTTAGGGTATTATGGTTATAATTTCAGGCTTACTTAGATTTAGGGATTAGAAAGAAATTAGGGATTTAGGACTTTATGTTAATTGATTCAATTGAATGTAATTGATACGCGATTGGATTTTATTCTGTAATACAAATTGAAGATTCATATATACAAATTTGATTTAGTTAAATATTAGATTGTTTTAGAAGATTTGATTTAGTAATACATTTTTTAAGATCTGAACAGTAGTTGTTCATTGAATGAAACACATATTTTTTGCTTTGATCGCTACAGTGCTTGTTTGTAGCTTTTAGGCCTTCGCGTTTTATTTTATCCAGCCCAACAACTTTGTTTTTCTTATTACAACAAAAGTGCCCTTTTTACACAACCAGGCCCAATTGGCCTTTCCGTAACCCGATGCTTAAACAAACTCTTAATAAATAAATAAAGTTTATAAACAATATTTAATAATTAATAAAAGCATTATCATAGTAAAAAAAGTCTAACATATCACGTTCTCTTATTATATTTTTTTAATTAAAATAATAACAACAATTTTAACAATAATGCTTTCTTTTTTCTAAACAAAACGACACTACAACATCTAATGGGCTCAAAACATAACAGGCTTATAGTTTGTAATAGATCCAAAACAAAACTTTTAATAAACAAATAAATTTTGTAAATATTATTTAACAAAACAATTTACCCCCTTTAACTGAAATAAATTTCTTTTAACTGGTTGCAAAGAAGAATTTCCTTAAAAAATGATGATAACAGCAAACGCTTCATAATAATTTTCTACAATAAATCAGCAACAGAAACGACAGATGGACCGATTTCAGAAACCCCAATGGGCCTGTAATGTGTAATCATACCCCTTCTTTTCACTAACAACAATAATATTTAGATGGGCTTTAATATAAGAACGTAATTATTATTATTGAAATAGTTTTCCACATTCAAATCACATGGGCCATTGACCAACATGCTTAGCGAATGGGTTTACGGATACGTGGGTCTTTCTGATTTAGAAAACCCCACTCTCCTGAATTAAAGTACACCCTCTGATTGTCTTGGATAAAGATGGACCATCAGATACTGCCGTGCCATCTTTAATTAAATATTAAATCTTGAAAAAATAAAAATCATCGAGGTAGGGCAAATTTGGGGTACGACAAAGATGTAGAACTCCTTTATGTTAGCATGAATCTGGAGAAAGTGTAGTGCTTGGACCTGAAATTGTTCGAGAAACTACTGAAAAGGTGAAGTTGACTCGAGAAAAGATGAAAGCTTCCCAAAGTAGACAGGAGAGTTATCATGACAGGCAAATGAAAGATTTAGAATTTCAAGAAGGTGACCATGTGTTTTTGAGAGTTACACATGTGATTGGTGTTGGGTGAGCATTGAAGTCTAAGAAGCTCAATCCTTGTTTTTTGGTCCGTATCAGATTTCGGGCAAAGTTGAGAATGTTGCTTATAGAGTGGCTTTACCGCCTAATCTTTCGAATTTGCATGATGTGTTTCATGTGTCACAACTTCAGAAGTATATTTCAGATTCATCTCATGTGATTCATATGGATGATGTGCAAGTACGGGATAATCTTACTGTGGAGACGATGCCTGTACGTATCACAGATCATGAGATGAAGGCTTTAAGAGGCATATAGATTGCTTTGATGAAAGTAGTCTGGTTAGGAGTTGCCGGAGAAAGCATGACATGGGGGTTAGAAAGCAAGATGCAGGACTCATATCCTAAGTTGTTCGAACTATGCTCCGAATCATATAGGGTCGTTCCCCGACCAAGGGTAGGATTCCCGTCCCTTCCCCGAGGCTTAGCTCGGATCGAGGTGGGCGTCTTTGGGCTCCACCACCTACGCCCTATGATTGGTTAGACCCGAGAAGGGGGTGCACCAACTATGAAAAAATACGCTTAATAGGTTTTGGATACGATGTGTGCATTTGAGTCGTATCAAAATAGAATAATTGCATTAATTTTTTGTCAGATATGCAATAGGGCATGAAATATGTTTGAAGCTTCATCTGAATCACATAAATGTATTAAGTGTGTATCAAATACACATTCATGTAGATAACGCGTTTTAAGCCGTGTCAGAATCACATAATTGCGCTAAGTTTGTATCGAATATGCAATAGGCTCGAAATATGTTTAAGCCGTATCAGAATCACATAAGTGCATTAAGTTTGTATCAGGAACATATTTATGCATTTGATCTTCGATCTCTTGTTTTGTGTGTTCTATTAAAAAAGAGACAAATAATCACATAACAAAGAAAGAAGCGAGAGATATTTATACATATAAATATACATTTTTTCATGTTAATAATGAATTAAATTTGTTACAAATAAATAAATAACTGTTTAGATGGATAACCCTCGACAGTGACCTAAGTGTAACTAAACGGGGTCTGAAGCCTTTGGCCATTGTCCTTCTTTTGGGGGTCCAAGTTGAAGGTGCTTTGAGCTTTGAGGCATCTCCTTTAGTTGGATGGCGTCTGAGGCGACTTACCTTATATTTATCTATTGAAACATATTTGAGAGGTCGATTGCTCTTGGGAGTGGTGTTAGGTCGATTCTGATTTTGGGCTCGTCGAATCACTCTATCATATGCTTTGATAATCCTTCTATTTATAGCGTGTGTCAGACTCCCTCGTCGAGTCTTTCTTTTGTAACTGGAGTGTTGAACGATAATCATATATGGATGTCGATAGTCTTTTTGCACCCGAGATTCATGATATCTTTCTCCGAGTATTTCCCACAGACCACTACTTTGATATTCGATTGATGAAGACCTTGGTGCATAAATTGGAAATCATATGATATCCACATGATGCACCCCAGTATCGGATCAACACCCATTGTTAACTATGAAGTTGTAGTATGTAGGCGCCATTAACTACAAACTTATGGTATCTTTCTGGAATCGACCCAAAAATTACATTGGCCTTGACGAGGAGTGTGGATGTAGCTAGGTCGAACAGTGGATTACGTGGTTTTTTCCCAAATTGCATAGAAATTGCCTTTGAACCTCAACGCAACCCTAGATTTGGATATGATATCCTTTCTTCCGCCATTCTTCTGTTTTCTCGTAAAAATCGGGAATCTTAACAACAAGTATCGCGACTGAGAAGATGGTTCATCAAACTGGTCGCTAAGACCTCGACGTTCGCTTTTGATTGCTTCTCGATTCAGATATTTAAGATAACAACAAACAATGAAACTGAAAAGCAAATGCAATTCACAGAGAGTGTTGAAATCGAAAATTGAATGCGTTTCTGATTTGGTAACCTAGGAAGACTACAAATTGGTGAATTAGAAACTGGAACCGAATCGTGAGATTTCAAATATAAAGTTTATGCATTTGTTAATAATATTTACGATACGAACCATGATTTTTGTGTAAATCACTGGAATCAATAGTCAATTCCCACAAACATCGCCATTGTTCTGTTTGAAAACCAAAAACGAATGATCTTGCTCCACAAAGGAACAAAAAATTAAGAGAGTTGGATAATGACGGTCTTGAACGGTGGTTCTGATCTCCTATACGGTGTCGCAAAGTGGACTTGCATGATTAATACTCCAATGCCGAAGTTAGTTCAAGATTCAAGACTCAAGACGTGTATAATGAAATTGGAGATCAAAGATCGTATACATTTTAATAGTGTGTGAACTGTTTTCATATGTTGGGTCGAGTAAAGTGGACTTTTGATGATTGAGCTTGGTCGATTGGGGCTTTGGTCGGTCCAGAACAAAAGTAAATCCTATCAATGATTAACATCACTCCTACAAAACACCCTAATGTTTCGGTTCCCAAATATTGTTATGAGAGTACATCCGAAAAGACACCTAAGAAATGAAGCGCATTAAAGACGCAAATTCCAAGAAGTGATTTTCTTCTCTTGACTTTCTAGAACAACTAAAATAATGATCGGTTGTCGAGATCAATGCGACAAACCCCTGCACCGTCATACAATAATAAGGGCTTGAGGGACAACAGTTCCAGACTGATCAGAATGGCCCTTGGTTGACCAGACAAAGGGAGTTACAATTCAACTGGATTGCACGCAACACATGAGAGCTACCATATAGAAGAGTACACGCGATCCAAAAATAAGATACATCTAACTGCTCTCCGCACCAGACACCTAACAAATAACAGGTTGTTACAACCGAATTCAAATACACAACTTCAAATTCAAATTTGATTCACTATTCTCCTTCACATATTTATTTAAGCATTTAAGTGATAACTTTACAGGTGAACCTCTCACCCACCGCATCTCATATCTATTATAACTGACTGAAAAAATTGATTCTCCAATAACTCTAGTTTCATAAAAGAACATTAATGGAACCTTTCTAAATCTACTTTCTGAGTTGAGTTTGATTATCAAAATACCAATTATTAAATTGTACTAATGTTTTTAAGCTATATCGTGCGTGTCATAAACTAAATAAAAATCGTATTATATCGTATTGTATTTGCAGTTTGCACCCTTACATGTAGATTGATATATTGATTTTGTAAAGTATTATTAAAAGACATAAAAATAGCATCCATAGAAAAATAAATGTTAGGGAAAGAGATTATGATCCAAAAAGGCAAACTATATCATCCACTCAATCAATTGTACACGAAATTGATTCTATTGAACAAGTGCACCTACCCATGCACACACCACAAAAATAAACAACCTAAAATAAAACAAAAACAAAAACATAAACTTGTGAAATTACAAACAAGGATGCTTAGGAGCAGCACTAGCGTTGCTGTTGTTTCTCACACTCAAAGATTATGCTCACATTCACTTCCCACAAATTATACATCATTTTTCTCTCCTCGTAACCCTTTACTCTCCAATTCTGCGTTTCTCAAATGGAAAACAAACATTGCTAGTTCCAATAACAATCGATTCAGAATGGCAGCAACCAAAGCATTGGCTCAACCGCTTCAGAATGCTGATGAGCTCATTGATTCCGTAGAGACTTTTATTTTCGACTGTGACGGTATGTTATGCTCTCTGTTATTGAATCTCAAAGGTCAAGAAAATATGATGATTTCAGTTTTTGCTAGGACTATAAGAAAATGTTAGTAAATTATATAATTAAGATTATACATAAATAGCATACATGTTAACGTTTCATGCTTTCTATATTTATGTAATGCTACCTTTGCTTATCCTTTGGATTTTGATTTGCAGGAGTTATATGGAAAGGTGACAGTTTAATTGAAGGAGTGCCTGAAACGTTGGACATGCTTCGGGCAAAGGTTTGTGTACTAATGTAGGAACTAGGTTCTTATCTTCAAGTGTGAATCTTGGCTATTGTTCAATCTATCATTGTTATATTTTTAGAAAAAACTGAGATTTGAGTCTTTTAATAAACTTGTTTAGGGAAAAAGATTGGTTTTTGTCACCAACAACTCAACTAAGTCTAGGAAACAATATGGAAAGAAGTTTGAAACACTTGGCCTGAATGTTAACGAGGTTAGTCCATTTTTCTTGCTCTTTCCTTTCACTGTTGCCTCCGGAATTGTTTATTCGATATACTTGTAACTTCAAAATATTTAACAATTGAGTTATTTTAGGAGGAGATTTTTGCATCGTCTTTTGCAGTTCCTGCGTATTTGAAATCCATTGATTTTCCAAAAGATAAAAAGGTAATATATATTATCTTTTGATTTATAGTATAGTATGATTGAAATAAATATTTAGTATTTACTCACCATGTTAGGAGTTTTTTAAATCTAAGGTGAAATCACCAGTTAAAATTTGGGGTAATTGGGAGGACAATCCTCCTTTGGTGAACTGACCGTACCCTAAACCAACACAGGTGAACAAGTAGAGTACACCAATGCGCTTGAGAGGTCCATGTCAAAGAAACTCGGCAAAATTTGAACACTATAGGGTCCAACATGAATTATATGACATGTTTTGACACTGAGTATTTAAATGTTTTAAAGCCAACCAAGGGATAAATGTTTATTTGTAAATTCTCTTATAATGATGGTGATGCTAAACATGGTGTGTACATTGTTTATGTTATGCATATACTGCTTGAAAAATAATATTGAACGTTATCTTTTTATTCTGTTATGGTGGTTGAGTGTAGTATCTTGTATTGACTATTCTTCAAACTACTGTGTGAAGTTAGTACAATACTAATACATTAGCATGATTTAGGTTTATGTCATTGGAGAAGATGGCATCTTGAAAGAGCTTGAGCTTGCTGGATATAAGTATGTTGGTGGGCCGGTAAGTATTGAGCTTGAATATGTAAAACCTTTACTGCCTGTTCTTTTGCATGCTTTGGAATTTGATCACTTGTTAATGTGCAATACCATTTTATCATCATTTTAGACTCCAATTTTACAGAAAAGAGGAATCTAATACAAAAATAATCCTATGATGATGATCAAATGTAGAGAAGATTTATCCAGAGAGATCCACTTTGGTTCATATCATGATGATATGCAATAATGATATGGATTATTAAAATAAAAAGTATTTGGCTCCTCTTGGGACTGTGTACATTAGATGATGATAAAGTCTAGAGTTGTAACCACTTCTTAAAAATTCAACGGTTTAAATTTAACCTACTTTCAAACGTTTCTTAATCTTTTGAGCAAAGAACCAAAGTCGGCCTAATCGCATTGAGTTTTTGATTTATTGATTTGCAGTTTGAACATATTCCAAATTGATTGCATATATTAATCTCTTCTATTAGTATGGAATTAGTCTTATGTTTGATTATCTTTCCTCTCATTTGTGCATGTTATTCTTTCAGGAAGATGGCGGGAAAAAGATCGAGCTTAAGCCAGGGTTCTTGATGGAGCACGATGAAGATGTATGTACTTCTCGCCTTTTTTGATAATCAGCAACATTTAGTAATATTTCTAGTTCCTATTATAAGAGTCTGTTTTTTATTAGGTTGGAGCAGTTGTTGTGGGGTTCGATCGCTATTTCAACTACTATAAAATCCAGTAAGATTTCAAACACAAACACTAAAACATTACAATTATTTATGCATGATGTACTCAATTTAGAGACAAATCTTGTGATTTGAAAACTAAGAAGTCTTGTTATCACAGATACTTTTTTCGTAACTTTTCTCCATATATTAATACCGCATTTTCCATCGAAATGACAGGTATGGAACTCTCTGTATACGGGAAAACCCTGGATGTCTTTTTATTGCTACAAATAGAGATGCTGTTACTCATCTCACAGATGCTCAAGAATGGGCAGGTTTGTTCTTACTCCCTCCTTCTCGCTATCATTTATTCAATTTTATGACATTAGAGTTTGATTACATAGAGACAAGCAAAGTTAGCTAGTTTTGTAGCAGGCTATATATCAAAACTAAACCGGTTTAATCAATACACCGAGTAGTATGATATTCTTAAAAGTTTTGCTTTGGTAGTTGAATCTGCTACAATATATGCTTAAATTTCAGGTGGGGGCTCTATGGTTGGTGCTCTTGTTGGATCCACTCAACGCGAACCACTAGTTGTTGGAAAACCCTCTACTTTCATGATGGACTACTTAGCAAACAAGTATACTTCTATTGCCTTATTTTATATTCTTCATGCATGATGCTGATAACTATCAATGGTATTATTTGACATTAATGGATGCTAATCGTGACATTTTCTGCATCAGTTGAGCTGTACTAATGTTCTTAAACTAGGAAAAACATGGAACAAATCAATTTTCACATCTTCTATGGAAGTATCATAATTTTTAAAATGTTGGAGGAACTACTATGAAATGCATGATGATAATTGCATTCAAACATTATTACACACGTTTGTTTACAGAATAATTTTCTTTTGACTGTGTTGTAATTTTATTGAACAGATTTGGCATTTCAAAGTCACAAATATGCATGGTTGGGGACAGATTAGACACCGACATATTATTTGGTCAAAATGGTGGCTGCAAAACTCTTCTTGTCCTCTCAGGAGTCACCACAACGGCTATGCTTCAGAGTCCAAACAACGCCATTCAACCAGACTTTTACACCAACAAAATTTCAGATTTTCTTTCCCTAAAAGCTGCAGCTGTATAATCAATAGTTTATTACAATTTATTAAAAATGGTGAACAAACTTCTGTTTTATGAGGTTTCATCATTCTGTTCTATCTCCGTAAAAGTAAATAATGTAAATGCTTGAATGAACACAATACAAGGTTTGCTGTTTTGTAAGCATGTAGAACTTTTCATAAGCATGTAGAACTGGGGTATTCCTATGCCAATTTTCGAGTTCTTGATAATTTCTCTATGGAAATGATATCTATCCAAGTAATAAACTATCATCTTCTTCATTACATATTTTCCGTTGATTATTTTTGAAAAATTTTTGTATGGAAAATGAATATAAGAAAAGAGGCTTAATACAAATAAAACTAACTCAGTTAAGTTCTAATCAAATTTGGAGTTAAGGATTGTGATCCCTGTTCAGATCTAGTAGAGAGAAATCATCATAATACAACAGAACAGGAAAAAATGATTATAATAAAGAAAAGAAATTGAACAAAATTGGCAATTTAGTACTGAATTCTCATTACCAGTAGCAACAAACCAAGTACAATATAGGTAACATAGAAATAGTAATTACAATACAAAACAGATACCCATTTTGAAATGCAACATCTATCAGAAAAGAAAAAAGAAAGTAATTCCCCAATGAATCAAAAAATATACTAGTAAACAGAGAATTTCTGTAACACAAATGTTGTTTCTTGTTTTTTAAACCAGTCTTTGAATCCACTGTTGAAACTTAAACCTGGAAAGGCCATGGCCAATCCTTCAAATCCTCATCTTGTTGAACCTTAGCACTTCCCAAAACAATAGCCCTAGAATTATTCCCCCCTTCAACAGAAGCATAATACTTCAAGAAAAACGCCAGAGTCAAAACAACCCACTCCAAGGAAAAGATCAAAATAGCAAGTCCACCCGACAGTTTCAAGATCACAGAACCATCTTCTTCTCTAACATAAGACTTCAGCTCACCAAGAAAATCAGCCGTCCTTGTAAAAACAAGAACCGAAACCGACCCCTGAAAAATAGCCGTTAACACAGTTGCCACCATGTGAGCAGAATACCAACGGTTAGCACCAACAGCTGCACATCCTGAAACAGCACCAGCAATGGTGAAAATATGGAGAAGGATCAAGAAGAAGCCGCAAACAGAAGGGATTAAGCGGAGTGAGAGTGTGAGGAAGATGCAGCTTGAGGCTGCACCCAATAGGACGTAGTTGCAGAAAAGGAAAAGCTTGTGGATGTTGTAGTGCCGTGGTGTTATTGCGGCTGGGTGGTTGTTCATTGAGAGACCCATTTGGGTTTGGAACAGAAAAACTGAAACTTTGATGGATGAGAAAGGAGTGTGATGAAGAAGATTTGAGATTGAGATTGAAGAAAGTGAGGTGTGTTGAAATTGGAGATGAAGATGTTGTGGTTTTGTAGTGGTTTTTGAGTGTGGCCGAACGGTCATATTTTGTTTCAATGTTTGGGTCAAATGTGACCGTTGAGATGCAACACAGCTCACTCTTGTTTCATGTAACGGTTAGTTTCTAACATCTTCATTCTTTGTTTTGTTTTCTTTTTTAAGTTGGCATTTTCATTTTATTTGAATTGTTTTAACATGAATTAAAAACCTTTGAGTTGTTTGTTTTCTAGAGTTTTCGATCTATCTTTCTAAAGAGGATTTTTTTTTTTTTAGATTTTTCTGGATAAAACATTTTAATAAATTTGAACATAAAGGAAGTGATCGAAAAGCTATTATAAAATTATCACATCTCCCGTAAGATTTTACTAACCTATATGTTTTCTTTTATAAATCTTCTAATAAAGTTGAATATGTTTCTCTTCTTTTAAGTGATGAATTTAACTGATATGCCTAATAATTTTTTAAGTGTTTGTTTTTTATTTTAATCTTATCTAAAATATCACCTATAAATAATTGTAATTTATTGGCCGTGGAAAACATTTTACACTGAAAACAAAAAAAAAAATTAATTTCTTAAACATTATAAAGAAGCAAGTTAAGGCAACAAAAGAACACCACATTTTCTTAAAATGTTAGAAATTAGAAACTACCAAAGAATTGCTTTGGGTGAATTATGTATTCTATATCTTATAAGAGCTATGAGAGTTGAAAACAAACATCTGATAAGCAGCAAACTTTTTATTTGGTTGTAGAAGAATCAGTTTGAGACATCAAAATGGAAAAGGTTTTGAGAACTGTTTTTTAATTTGTGATTAAATGATTATCCTGTCAAAAACTTGTGAACAATAATGATTATATTGATAATCCTGTCAAAAACTAGTGAACAATAATGATTATCCTGTCAAAAACTTGTGAACAATACCACATTGGCACTCGATTCCATCATAATGATATCTTATTTCAATTGAGTTTTGGCACAAGAAAAATTTAGTGTCACGAGAACACAAGTAAAATATACCCAAATAGAAAATCACTTGTCCGATGGAACATAGTTTATTGGTATATTCACAAACAAATGTATCATGTTACCTTATATAATTTGCACAAGTCATCATGTTCAAACTTTGAAGTATTTTCAGCTTTTTCTACCTGTCCCAACATTCCTTTTTATATAATAAGGAATTTCACAAACAATAGCAAAATGCCTAGATAAATGAGGGCAACAGTAAACATTAATTGCCTTTATAAAGTTTAGAGTATAACAAACTACACAGTAGCAGTTAGATACTATACAAATACATTAGGTGGTAAGAAATGATGATCCTTATCCACCAACCGCTACATAAATTACAAGGCACTTTCAGTAAAAAAAACTAGATGCCTAGATAAAACTGAATTCTTGCATGGAGGGATGTGTTTAAACACATTACACATTAGCACCAGTAAGCTACAAATGGTGATATATTTTTACAAAAATATACATTAAAACCAAGAATAATCAATAGGATGAAATGATACATGAGCCACTTCAAGTCCCCAACCATTCAAGAGGTAAAATTAATCGGCTAAATTCTATCCCCAAAAAATATTTTAATGAAAAGCCATATAACTAAAATAGGGGAGTGATGTTGAAAAGATTATCCCAACCCTGCAGATTCAAACCAACGGATCTTTACCTCTATATCAGCCACTCCTAGGTGAGGTTTCAGAAATCTGTCTTCATAAGCTTCCCACGAGGTTGTAAGTTAATATCAGCAAAGGGTTTTGTCTGTTCTACATCAATATAATCCCTTGTCTTGAGAACCTGCCATCATGGTCAAAATTAGATTTGAATAAAGGCAGAAGTTGCCAAGTAGGCATTTGGCCTCCTAGAAGACTGGATGCTTTGAAGAATTCAAACAAAGCAAAGTAGCACACTGCTATAGGTTTAGCAGAAAAATCTCACTCCATCAATGTTAAGCAATTACCCTCCAAAGCATATACTCAATATGTACAAACTACAATACATTCTACAATAGTATCTATAAATGTCACATACAGAAAATATAGTCGTATACTTGCACAACATCATAAAAGAGTGTTTTCAGCTCTCTTGGAGTTCAGCACAGTTATTTTAATGTTATTTCAATTGCTGATTTACAAAGGGAGTGTGTAACCTGCAACACTACTAGTTTCTCTCTCTTTTCTCCAATAGAATTTATTAAATAGAGAAAGAGGGGAATTGATATTTCAGTTACTACTGTCCCAAACGTTGAAAATATGTCAAATCAATGCCAAAGTTCATTAAACAGTACATATGCTAGCTAAAATAATCCTTGAGAGCATACCAGTGTTTCAAAAAACATCCTTGATGCTTCTTTCCGTGTTTTACCAGCCAATATTTTGTCAAGATGCAATTTTTGCCTTCCATGTATATCCTCCTTATCAAACAAGGTCTGAAGATACTTAGCAACAGCCCTGTTGATAAATGCATTAGTTAGGTATTCACAAAAGGAAATCTATCTACAGGAGCCTAAACAACTTAGAACAGATTCAGATTTTTTGTCAAGCTTTACATAACTGACCTGGTTCGAGAAGACCACCCACTATTTTCTAACTGTGTTCCTTCTGCACCCGGTGCAAAACCATCAGCATCGTCATCGTCATCATCAATTATCTCATCATCCCCAACATTCAAAAATCCTGATAATAGAAGGATAAATAAAATGAAAATGGGTTTGATGACTGATAGAAACCAACTGATATAGAATATGAAATAGAGAAAATCCCTTTCGAAGACAGAATAATGTTGCAGAACCTCGAGGGTCTACACCTCCCCTAATGCCAAATTGGCCCCTTTCCTGTCACATTCCACTGTAAACGACTCTTCCCTATCTTCCCCTATTTATTCTAAGCATAAACACAGTATTACTTCCCCTATTTATTCTAAACATGAACACAGCATTAACAAAACGTACCTGCTCCTAATAATTCCCACTAAACCCTAAACTCCTATTAATATAATAATTGCAACTTTAAAATATACTACCTCCGTCCCTAAATATAAGACCCTGTTGAATAAATTGAGGGAATTGAGAAAGTTTGTTAGAGTAATAAATTTATTGACTATTTTGTATAATTTTACAAGTTTATCCTTAAGAGAGAGAAATAGTTAATGTGTATGTAACTCTATTACAGATTGCAGAAAAATAGGTAATATAATTAGGGGCATGTTTGGAAAAAAATAATTAATGCACTTTGAAAGTTGAAGAGGGTCTTATAAAAAGGGACAAGAAAAAAACTCAAAGAGAGTCTTATAATTAGGGACGGAGGTAGTAACAGCTAACAAATGAAAAGTCTAACAATGACCAGCGTCATAAAGCAGGCAAAAGGTAGATGAAAATAAGCATATACTGTCGCCTAAACATGTGGCAGCAGGGGAGAGAGTAGTGTCAGTGTCCTCTACTAGATGAAAGTTGAATAAATGTGTGTGTGTGTGTGTGACTTATCCATAGACCATAGCTTAGTTTTACTTCCTACTCTAGCTCTAGCTTCACTCAGAAATGACTAGAGAATATTTAAAAACTCTAATGACTATCTAGTAGTAGACGAAGGATCATCACTTTCCATTTTACTATTTTCTCTTGTTGTCTTTACATTGCATAAATTAGGTTAAAAGTTCCTTGGAACCAACCACTTCCATCTAGTATGGTCCTATTGACCAAATCCCATAACAATGCCACTAGGTTAGGATCCCAAGTCCCAACATACCACTTTTCAAATCAAACCCGAAAACTACCAATTGATCCATTCCATAAAGTTGTAAATATGTTGACAAATTAAGCATGTGTACAAATGAATAAGGAAACAAATTTAGAAGAAAACCTGTGTCATTGCCAACCATATCGTCTTCCTGCACCATGTAACCAAGCAAACATAATTAGGTATGTACAAAACAGTGAAGGAGTAATACATATAGCTTGGAACCGAAAGGGGAAGATAACCAATATAATTTCCATCACAAACAGCAGTAACTTTAACCAAAAATATATACTTCCCTCGTAAGAGTTTATAAGCAAAAAACACACATTTTTCTTGTTACAAATTATATGCAAAAAAACATCAACTTAATTTCATTTAAACATTTTATTCTCAAAATGCATCCTTCCCAAAGTAAAATTAAATGTATATTGCATTTAATTTATTTCCTCTCATTTTTTCCATAAACAACAACCAATTGAAATTGCTTTTACACCTTCCAATATAACATATTTCAAAAAAGACACAGATTTAAATTTTCTTAATAAGTGAAAAAAATTGACTTTTGCTTATAAATTGACATAAACTCACAGGTAAACAGATTTTTACCAATAACTTCTCATGTTGTATGAACAAACGAAACTTTTACTATTTTGTTAGGTATATCAGATATGTAAAATGTGTCTCAACCAAATAGAGATGAATCTAAATAACGATTGATACTAAATAATGCATTTAGCATTTTAAGGCAAATTTTAGAACTTACATCATTCTGATCCATAAAAGGACTCCTAATAGCTGAGACATCGGGATACGTTGTATTTTGTAATGACGCTTCTTGAGAAAATGGATTTTCCTCATCATTCAAAGAACCTTCTTTTACATCCTCAAGTGCTACAGAATGTAAACAATCTGCTTCAATATTTTCACTAAATAAGCCGCCAGCCTTTGCATTCTTGTCATCACATCCCAAGCCAGAAGAAACAATTTGATCCTCATTTAAGCTTTCTAGCATGTTGTTCCCATTTTCCTCCATAGGAAGGTCTCCGTTAAAGGAAACCTGGTTGTCAGTATGATCATTAGCTTCCTTAGAGTCGAGGGCCAAGGATGCATATAAATTATCAGTTTCCAAACCATCTGTTTCAACTCGTGTTCCAATTTCAATGGCATGCTCTGCAATTTCAATAGCATCTGCTTTGTTTCTATCATGTTGATCATCCACAAACACATTTTCTAGAATAGTAAATGTATTCATTTTCTCGGAAGTTGGAATGTCCAGCACATTTGTATGGATAGAACCAGCAAGATCATCTGTTTTATCCATGACAGGCAGTGATGCATCAAAATCATTTGGCCTGCATAGCTCGTTTTCAAATACTTCAGTTAGGGATAAAGTTTCATGCCCAGGGACAGAGTAATTCTCTGCTTCAGAAGTCTCAAAATTTCCTCCAGCATTTACATCTGATATAATATTTGTATGCCCAATAGAGTAATTCTCTGCTTCAGAAGTCTCAAAATTTCGCTCAGCATTGTTCATTTCAGCATTTTGAGAACTACCAAGCTCATTTACATCTGATATAATATTTGTATGCCCAACAGAGTAATTCTCTGCTTCAGAAATCTTGAAAGTCCCCCCAGCATTGTTCATTTCATCATTTTGAGAACTACCATGCTCATTTACATCAGATATAATATTTGTATGCCCAATAGAGAAATTCTCTGCTTCAGAAGTCTCAAAATTTCGCTCAGCATTGTTCATTTCAGCATTTTGAGAACTACCAAGCTCATTTACATCTGATATAATATTTGTATGCCCAACAGAGTAATTCTCTGCTTCAGAAATCTTGAAAGTCCCCCCAGCATTGTCCTTTTCAGCATTTTGAGAACTACCAAGCTCATTTACATCTGATATAATATTTGTATGCCCAATAGAGAAATTCTCTGCTTCAGAAGTCTCAAAATTTGGCTCAGCATTGTTCATTTCAGCATTTTGAGAACTACCAAGCTCATTTACTTCTGATATAATATTTGTATGCCCAACAGAGTAATTCTCTGCTTCAGAAATCTTGAAAGTCCCCCCACCAGCATTGTTCATTTCAGCATTTTGAGAACTGCTAAGCTCCTTCATGTCTGATATAATATTTGCACGCCCATGAGCATCAATATCATGAGATCTAAAGTCAACTCCAGACTGATGACTCTCCGACGGCACAGGTATCTCAGAAGGTTGGGCTTCAGCATTTTTTGGGGGTTGGACTTCCATAGTTTCATTATGACATTCCCTCTCGGACGGAACAGGTATCTCAGAAGGTTGGGCTTCAGCACTTTTTGCGGTTTGGACATCCATAGTTTCATTATGTGGTTCCCTCTCGGACAGAACAGGTATTTCAGAAGGTTGGGCTTCAGCATTATTTTGGGGTTGGACATCCATAGGCTCATTATGCGATTCCACCTCATGAACCTCAACATTTGCTTTAGAATGAGACACTTCAGCCTCTTCTTGGGGTTGGACTGCCATAGGCTCTTTGTGTGCTTGCCCCACATGAATTTCAGCATTTGATTTAGAATAGGACTGCTTATCATTTACTTTTTCCACGGAAAAACTATCTAAACCATAATCATAAACCTTGATTCCACTCAGATCAAATGTCCCATTTTGCAGAATAGTCAAATCAGCAGACAAATCTGGAAGAAATGAGAAAATTAACTCAGGTATGTTGAAGGTAAAATTCACAAATGAACCCAAATACAAGTTGTTTTTTCATCAAAACTCAACCAAACACAATTTTATATCTGTTTTATGTTTTTGTGAGAATAAAAATATTAACAACTGTAACATTAGCCAAAATCACATTATATCAGGTGGCTGGTGGCATATCAGGAGTTATAACTAGATTAGGAAGGAATGACAGGCTCCAAATGATAAGGCTACAATATGTTAGCACAAACTTCACCTGTAAATATTGGTTTCAGGAAAATTTTATCCTCCAAAAACTGTCTCTGAATCATTAAAATCTCATCGCTTGTGCAAGGAGCTTTTTTCCGTACACGCCTTATGTCTTCAGTACTTATCAATTGTTGGCGTATTGTACTTCAAACAGAAAAAGGAAAAAAACAACATTAATATTTTAGTGCACAAAAAATAGGAATTGATATGTGATACAAGGGAAAAACTGATAAGTTTGATGATAAATGCAACTATCACCAGAATAATGGATATATTACAACTATCACCAGAGAATCAATACATAATTATTTACCAAAACGGTAAAAAGAGGGGTGAAGAATAGATCTGAGAAAGACTATAAATCAAGGCACGAATAATACCATGTTTTTCACTCTAGTGCAATCAAGTCAACATAAAATAAAGGGAGAGCTTTGTACAAATCAATAAACAGATCATTATAAAAACTTACTCGCCATGCAAGACCATCATAGCATCCACAAGAACCTTCCTCTTTAAGGTACTAGTGCGTGGTGTAGAACGAATCCGCTTTGCTGTAGGTACTTCGGCGGTTGCTGGACTTGGTTTAACTTTTAAAGCTGAAGATTTTCTGCCAGCTGGAGCAACAACAAATTATTCTCAGTCACAATATTCATGTTCTCAAGAAAAACTGTAACTATAAATATAAAGCACAATGCATAATGAACCAATATATACCTAATATTGAAGACAATAGATCATCATCATCCGGAATGGACCCGGCAGTTCTTCTGGATTGAGCCCCACCATATGATCCAACTAAATCCATGCTCTGCACTGTAAGAGTACTTTCTGCGTAGCTGCGCTTTTTACCAGATATTGATGTTACTGCTGCAACATCTGTATGACCTTTAGATATACCCTGATTGCCAGGAGTAGATTCCAGCAGCAAATGATTCATCTCACCAAAATGCGGATAAGCCAAGGAGAGCGTTTTTTCAGGCGGAGGCATGTCCGGAGCAGTAAATGTGTTTACACTTCCCATTTTATTACTCATCATCTGACTCCCAAATTGCATGCCTGATTGCCCCAACGAGAGCATTTTTTCAGGTGCAGGTATGTCAGAAACAGTAAATGTGTTTACACTTCCCATCTGACTCCCAAATTGCATGCCTGATTGCCCCAACGAGAGCATTTTTTCAGGTGCAGGTATGTCAGAAGCAGTAAATGTGTTTACACTTCCCATCTGACTCCCAAATTGAATGCCTGATTGCCCCAAGGAGAGCACTTTTTCAGGCGCAGGTATGTCAGAAGCAGTAAATGTGTTTACACTTCCCATCTGACTCCCAAATTGCATGCCTGATTGCCCCAAGGAGAGCATTTTTTCAGGCACAGGTATGTCAGAAGCAGTAAATGTGTTTACACTTCCCATTTTATTACTTAGTATCTGACTCCCAAATTGCATGCCTGATTGCCCCAAGGAGAGCATTTTTTCAGGCGCAGGTATGTCAGAAGCAGTAAATGTGTTTACACTTCCCATTTTATTACTTATCATCTGACTCCCAAATTGCATGCTTGATTGCCCCAAGGAGAGCATTTTTTCAGGCGCATGTATGCCAGAAGCAGTAAATGTGTTTACACTTCCCATTTTATTACCTATCATCTGACTCCCAAATTCCATGCCTGATTGCCCCAAGGAGAGCATTTTTTCAGGCCCAGGTATGCCCGAAGCAGTAAATGTGTTTACACTTCCCATTTTATTACCTATCATCTGACTCCCAAATTCCATGCCTGATTGCCCCAAGGAGAGCATTTTTTCAGGCCCAGGTATGTCAGAAGCAGTAAATGTGTTTACACTTCCTATTTTATTACTTATTATCTGACTCCCAAACTGCATGCCTGATTGCCCCAAGGAGAGCATTTTTTCAGGCCCAGGTATGTCAGAAGCAGTAAATGTGTTTACACTTCCCATTTTATTACTTATTATCTGACTCCCAAATTGTATGCCTGATTGCCCCAAGTCCAACTTTCCTTCACAAACAGATGGCTCTACAGTACCATGATAATCCAAAGCAGGATCTGAAACATCAGTTTCATGACATTTTTCACCTACAAAAATAAAACAATCAACTTATTAGCAATAAACTAGAATTCACATGTTCAAATGTCTATCAAGCAGATAAGCAAATTATAGATAAAAGTGACTACTTAAAAGAAAGAAGGACTGTTATTATAAACTAGTTAATTTTCCGTACATAAGAGGGGAAAAAATCGATTATATTCATAGGGAAAAAATTTGTATGATAGGAAGTCTGCAGGTCAGCAAGGAGAAGGCAACACAATATTAAGGTGAAATGCCGTAAATTATCCAAAATCAAAAACAATAGGAAACATGCAATAAAGAAACAGAATTCCTGAAATGTATGCATATTTCACTCCAATTGAAAAGAGAGGGGGGGTATTAGATAAAAATGAATAACTACATTAATATCAAATTATACTAAATGATTGTTATTTAATACCTTCAATGGATAACAGAGAAGGATTGTTTACACGGGAAGTGCATGGCCGAAGGTGAGACTGGGTGGGAAGCTCAGCTTCATGAGATACAAGGTTTAAAATACCCGCTTGCTTTGGTTCCTGAGATGCAAGGTTTAAAATACCCGCTTGCTTTGGTTCCTGAGATGCACGAGCTTCCACATCAACAACTTCAGGTCTGCCAGATGACTCTAGAAGACTTGCAATATTGGATACTTGAGCCTCATAAACCACACGGGGTTGCTGCTCGTTCTTGGAAACTTCACTGTTATTTGAAAATCCGTGCTTTAACAATGTGGTAACATCTGCCAAATGACCACCAAATTCAGAACCACGAGATCCATCCATGTTAGACAACAGTTTACATGAGAGGCCCTCTTGATCAGATGTAACATGAGAACTAGGAGACACAACAGAATCATTGATGTTAACACCTCCAGAAACAACATTAACAGTTTCGTTCAAATTGGCCATAACTGATTCAGTGTTCCTCAGAACTCCATCATGCAAGCTTTCCACCTTTTCAGTTATACCAGAAGCATCAACATACCCACCTGCACATTCTGGTAACATGGTGGTTGTGTGGTCTTCATTGGAGGAGTCCATCAAGGGTACTGATGCCATGCAATGATTATTAGATATCAAATTTTCTTGATCCTTCATCACAACTGTGCGTGTGAAATGTTCTTGTTCCTCTCTTTTGTTATCCACGTCAGCCAGAACACAGTCACTAGTCTCATGATGCAAATCCACACCAACATTCTTCCCATTATTTTGCAAGGAGCAATCAATTACATTGTTCTCAGTTTGATGAGCACGTGATTCATTTTGTGTTGAATACATTGATAATAAATCTGCTGAATTATGAAAATCAGCTTCATTAATGACCTGATCCGACTGAGTACCAAACAAGTTTGGCTCTTGTAGTCCTGGAGTAGATGGACCTTGAGCATATTCATGAAATTCAGGAGAAGTAGATGGATCTTGAGCGTGGTCATGAAATTCAGGAGAAGTAGATGGATCTTGAGCGTGGTCATGAAATTCAGGAGAAGTAGATGGACCTTGAGCATATTCATGAAATTCAGGAGAAGTGGGAAAACCATCACTCTGTTCAAACAGGCAAATTCATTGATTAAAATTAGTACTAATTTCAATCTCTAGCCAACAGAATCGCTTTCACTTAATCCACTCTCCAAAAAAGAAAAGCAAAACAAGCAATAAAATAAAATATCGACAGGCATGCAAATATTTTAAAATACCAAATCAATTTTGCTTCCACTTTCTTCTACTTGCATTCTAGTTGAAGTTCCAATCACATCCTCTTTCTTTTCATCTTCTTGATGAGAAACTTGAGAATTAGCACCGAAGTCATCATGTTCCATATTGGCATCTTGGTCTATTAACATAACCTGAATTTACCATATTACATTGCAAATATCCAAAAGTTATATCAGAAGAATGTATCTATGTAGTTCTATGCAGATATACACATCAAATTTATTTTATATAGCAAATCAACCTTGCTTCCAGTGTTTTCTACTAGCATTTTAGCAGAAGTTGTAATCACCTCCTCTTTCTTTTCATCTTCTTGATGAGACACTTGAGGTTTAGCACTGAAGTCGTTGTGCTCCAAAGTGGAATCTTTGTCTATTAACATAACCTGAAATTACCAAATCACATTATAAATATCCAAAATTATAATCTGAAATACATAGTACATTGTAATCCATAATATACACATCAAGATGTTGTATTTCACAACCATGTCAATTAAAATATGTCATGACAGTGCTCTAACAACTAATGCACCGATACTGATATATAAAATAGTAGGCAGTCATCAACAAAGCATAGAATCCATTCAGGATAGAGATAATACACAGTGCTGATCTAAAAAAGCAATATTGATGATGAAAGAATTGAATTTAATAGGGGGGGAAACAGAACAACCTCCTTTATAATATTTTTTGGTATACAAATTATGTTGGTTCTATACAATAAAATTAAATTACTATCAATGATTAACTCAATTGAAGATGTACAAAATGTAATACCCTAGCCTTCTAAAACCAATTAATTAAAATACTAAAGGGATTTTAATGTGATTAATTGTGTGTTAGTGATGTTAATGACTCATTTAACCAAGAGCGGAATGTTGGTAATCTTTTAAGATACAGGGGCAAAATGGTCATTTTCGACTAGCCTCTTTATTAGTGGAAAATGAACTCATTTTCTCTCATTCTGCCACCATTCTATTTTCTCACAACCAGAATTTAGAGAGAAAATGGAGAGAACCCGTGAAATCAAGGGAAGGAGAAGAAGTAGGTTCTAAAGCCATTGCCAACTTGCATGTTCAAACCTCAAGCTTCTAATCTTTGAAGAAGACTCTTCATCATCCATTTCAGAAATTGATTTCAATTGGTGAGTTCATTAGGGGTTTAGTTCCTCTAGGTTGGGAATTGCATGTTTGGGACTTAGGGATTTGGAAGTGTTATGTGAAATTCATATTTGATATGTCTCCATTCAGAAGGTAATATCTTTCAGCCTGTAACTCAGAATTGAGTGATTCTGGATTTTTCAAAATCTAGACGAAATTCCCTTCGATTTGGGTACTAATTTCGTGTGCCTAGGATCTGTTGTGAGGTGAGAATTCGTGTTCAAAGTTGAAGGTCTAATGCTGAATTATGCAGAAAATCTGCATATGGTTTTGGTGGATTTTGAGTTGCACAAGAGCTTAGGAAGTGGAGTCGGAGCGTAAAATATCGAGGTGAGTACATTAGATAGGACTTGGGGAAATTTGGAATGCTATGGTTTGATGGATTCTCTCATGATTTGTGTTGTATGTGAAAGCTAGGTTATGATAGGGTTGGTTTGATGTTAATACCATGGGAATCCATGCCTTAACTACCTTATATGTGGAAATTAATTCTCTAACCTATAAGCATTTTATGATAGTAGTTAGAATCTTAACCAATATTTAGATATAACTTCCATTCATGAAATTAGGGGTTTAGGTTTCATGTTACAGTTGGTGATTTTGGGATAGATTGTTGTACTATGTTACTGTCAGCTTGATTTTCGCAGGACATAGCTGAAGACATTTTAGCCATAACTTTTTCTATAGGCATTCAAATTTTTGTTTGATTTCTGAAAACTAGACTCAATTACCTTCAGTTTGAATATAAATTTGATAATGGTTGACAAAGAATTGAAACCTACAAACCTGTTACAAGTTAGATAAAAATTGTTGTCTGTTCTTGTAACATGTGTGGCCTTTTATGATAAATTGCACTTATGATAAATTCTCAAAATTTTATCACTCGTGTACATTATTTTGTGTTATTTTAAAGTTAGATATTTTGTCTTAGAATTTATACAGAAACTATTGTGACATGGCTGATTTGAAATGGTTGTAACTAAGGCTAGATAACTTTTTCTATAGGCATTCAAATTTTTGTTTGATTTCTGAAAACTAGACTCAATTACCTTCAGTTTGAATATAAATTTGATAATGGTTGACAAAGAATTGAAACCTACAAACCTGTTACAAGTTAGATAAAAATTGTTGTCTGTTCTTGTAACATGTGTGGCCTTTTATGATAAATTGCACTTATGATAAATTCTCAAAATTTTATCACTCGTGTACATTATTTTGTGTTATTTTAAAGTTAGATATTTTGTCTTAGAATTTATACAGAAACTATTGTGACATGGCTGATTTGAAATGGTTGTAACTAAGGCTAGAAAACTTGGATTGGGATGAAACCAATTGGGATTGAAAGATAATTTGAACCTTTATACTGGAAAGTTTCGTGATTTTACATCATGGTTACAATTTATAGTGAGTTTAGGAAGTAGGGAATTGTTGAGAACTGAAAAGAAGAACCTTTGGTACTACGTGGTACACCCTAATTCCGAGATAATGGAATCAAGGGAGTGAAAGTTGGGATTGCCCGACTAATGTTAATGCGTAGTTTGAAACGTAGGAGAGTAAGCCCCATTAGATGGAAGGTAGGAGAACTCTGAATACCGCTTTGCTAGACTAGTCCTGAGAGAAGGCGGCGGATAATTTCCGGGAACCACCTTATAGGACTTAGTCATATTAGAAGGGGGCAAGAACTTCCGTAAAACCTTGTAATGATGGGCAGCGGGTTGTCGATCGTCAATGACGTTCAAAACACTAGTTGGGCTAGAGGTTCGTCAAAGACTTCAACGTGAAATATTCGTAACTCCTATTGTTCTACGTGACTTGTACGTTTAAACTATTAGCTTATACGTTATTGTGAAGTGTATTATGCATCGTTCCTTAAGCCCTATGAAATAGTATATATGTGAATACTAGCAGGATGAGATAAGGATAGTTTACCCTTTAGAGTCGAGTGGACCTATAAGATAGGTGGGCTCACTAAGATTTAGTAATCTCACCCCAATCATATTGTTGTTTTTCAGGTATGATGTAGAAATTAGAAGGATTACTAGAATGCTTAAAGAATGAAGACCTTGGTAATCGGATGGTTTGAAGACCCGCACCTGATTCTGGTTCCGCTGTGCTTATTCTAATGTAATTTTGTAATGTATACAGCTTGTAATGTCAATTATCAGCTTTTGTAGCTTTTGTATGTACTCAATACCAAAATTTTAACATCTTACTAATATGATTCTAGACGCATATTAGTGGGGAGTTACACAAAAGGTAAAAGACAAAATAAGCAAATGAAAAACAAGATTTATGAGGCCACATTCCTAGCAAAGCCTTGCATATATGACCCTGGTGTAGTACCACCAACACGATACATCTATGCTTCTACTCATAACTCATAACATCCAAATCAATATATCGAGGCCTTATAACAAAAGTTGTATTTCAGCAGTCCACATTATGTTGAGTGCCAAAGAGGAAAGACGAATACTAATTACCTCATCAAGGTCTAAACCAATTTGAGAGGCATCACCGTCTCCAAAGCGCTCTGCAAGATGTGATTGACATCAATCATTATTATAAGCATAGATCTCCTTAATGTACATCTAAAATTCACTATCAAACGACCAGTGGGTAAAGTAGAATACCAACCATCCAAACCAAACTGCGATGTTTTGTAAGCCATGCCATCCACAGTATCTTGCAGTGTAATCTGCTCCCTAGTACTGACATGACGATCAACATAATTGCTGCAAGTTCACACAACATATATAATATCCTGTTAATAAACCAATAACTCTCCCTAGTATCTTGTGTGTGTGTGTGTGTACCGAATTGGGAAAAACACAAGAAAATACAAGATCTGCAACTAAAATTTGTTTGTCAAGTCATTCATTTGACCCAGGAAAAAAGCTGGTAGACAAGAGCATATCCAATTACCGTCAATCTTTCAAATGAAATAAAATAATTACGATAAATATCAGCTCAATTACATAAAAAATGTTGCTGCAGTAGCCAACTGCTGGAGGTACAAGTGATCATATAATCAAGTACTATGGAACTAACCCTTGAAAAATGTCATTATCTGGCAGTTCAAAATCATCAAGATCGAAAGTCTCAGGTAAAGTGATGGAATGGTAAGGTGCAGTGGACTCTTCTGGTGGCAAATCAACTGCGGTAGAGCGGAAAGCTTGCTTTACCTTAAGCAAGGCTTCACTGCAATCATCGAAAAGGTAATTCACCTTTCTAGAATATATCCTTACCACGCCAAGCAGAAGATGACTGGATAAACGGAGTGCAATTGGTGCTTCAGGAAAAAGAATGGAATCTGTTCATTCATAAAAGTGGCTACATGAATAATGAATAATCTTAAACAATAAAACATAAAATTAGACGATAATAAGTGCAGCACATGCATGTATAGTGTACTGAGGAATATCAATTTCCCTCAACATTGGAATTGATCTCCTCCAGACTGCAGAGGGCTTATAACAAAATTTCAGCATCAATAGATACTTAATGTAAGCATTAGCTAACAGCTAGTCCTTAATCCTTCAGTGCATACTGCTAGCATTTTGCATGGAGTAGATGCACTGAGAATAATTATCCCAATCAAGGTAAGTTTTTCATTTGAACGGTATGCTTTAATTAAGAAAGAGTTGCTTATATTTTTTTACACTATCCTACAACTAGATCAATCTGGAATAGACCAATCTAGCAATTGCCGTTGCTTTTACATTCCATTGACACCTTTATAAAAAAGATATTGAATAAACTAGTTCAAGTGTTTGCTGTCAGCTGGGTAAGTTCTCTTGATCTAAAATAACTTCTTCAAATAAGCTTTAGGGGTTTCATACTACTGCGGAAGGAGACCCATTGGCTGTCAGTAATTACACTGTTCATTGAGGCATTTTCTTGAGAAAATTTGTGTATATTTAATTTTCCGCAAATAAATCTGTTGTGCAATACGATGTCCTTTACCTACCTCTCTTTGTGCACAGCTCATGATCTCTTTTAGGGGTGTCCACAGAAGACATACAAGTATAGATTGGAAGACTTAACTGTTGAGGATGTTTGTCCTTCTGTTCGTTCATTCATTTTTGAGCTATCATTTTACAACATTTATTTCCATGTCATTCCATTCCAAAATTTTACTCTACCTTCTATGGTATATTTCTCTACCTTAAGGACCAAAAAAAAATCTGAATCTAGAATAAGAGAATCATTATCTAAAACTCCAATTGAGTTAGGGTGCAATATTCTTCATTTTAGGTGAATAACCAGCTACCAAACCACAAACCACTCAAACTAGACTAACCACGCTATCGATACGTTAATTCCCTCCTTACCATTTTTCAAGTTCCATAGAAGCTACTACCCTAAGCACATTAAAAATAAAAATAAAAAAATCAAAAGATAAACAAACTAGCAAACTTACCTACGGAGACGCCGATGTCAGTATCCGCCACCTGATTCTTCCGGAGCTTCCTCTCTAAATGAGCAGCTATCCATATCGTCCCAAGAGGACCTTTCTTCGCCAAAATAAACTGAGAGTAAAACATATTCACTTCACCTCACAAACTCCCTATTTCCAAAATCAACACCTAATACGCCTTAAATTTCAATCCCCGTCCACAATCACGCCCAAAATTTCACAAATCATAGCTAATTCATAAAACCCCTCTTTACAAACCCTAATTTCACCTTCTCCAAAATCAACCAAATCGAGCACCAAATAGCTCGAAAACCGTGGAAAAGACGAAACCTCACGGAAAAATCAGAAACTCGCCGGAAACAACTAGTTAGCAACCGATTAATCGGTAGATCGAACAAAAACAAAACGAGAGTGAAACGGAAAGTAGAAAAACCCTAACTACGAGCTGAAGTGAGGATCGAGGAAGAATTGTAGAGATGAAAACGAAGAATTGAAAGGAAAAAATTGAGGGAAACCGATGGAATTGAAATTTGAGTTGAAATTTGAAAGAAAACGAAGAGTGATTATTGTGTGGAGAGTGCGATCGAGATTTGGTTCGGTTTTAATTTTATATATTCGACAGAAGAAATTGGTCATAATAATAAAATAATTAATAAATATGTGAAAGCGTGAAGTATTTTAGTTTCTGAGATGTATGCGTGTCAGTAGCTGATTGGATAAACATTGAGACTGAGACAAATCTGCACGTTTTCTTCTTGTTGCTTGATGATATCTTTTACGGCTTAACTTTTGTCATTTATTTTCTTCTTTTTACTTACTATTGATTTTTAAGTTACTCTTTGAAATGATTACTCCCTCCATTTTTGAGATTTTATTATATCTGACCATTCTTTACATTTATGCCTACATGATAACTTAGTTCAATGAAATAATTTACTAAGCTATTTATGATAGTTTAGATTTGTGCTACAAAATTGTTTATAACTAAATTTAAATTTAAGTGTATGTTTGGTTTTATAATTATAGTAAAATGATTTTTACTAAATTTGTTCATTTCATTTTTATAGAAATTTATTTAAATAGTATAAATTATTTTGGCTTCAATTCATTTTTAAGTCATATAATTAATTTTATATAATCAAAAAAAAAAATTTATCGTAGAACAAACACATGTTAAATTCATTTTAACAAGTGAGTCGTTACAAACTATGTTACCAAGATATTCTAGAGGCACACACAAGTTAACTTAATGATGGAATCAGGGTCACATGATAGTTATTTAATGTTTATTTGTTAACAGTTGTGTTTTGGACGGGTCTAATGATTAGGCATGGTACAATCCACTTTTGCATTTAAGACGGTTCAATAACTTTGATCCAATCAGGTGGAGCAAACAAAAGGCATTTTCCCCTTCTGCCCCTTGGTCGGGGAAGCGGGGTCGCGTGGCCCCAGGGCCAACAAGACCACGGTTGCCCTTAGTTGTACCTTTGTCTGCGTCAACGACAAATTTCACTATGCTCGTCACGTGTGGAGCAGCCATACAAGAATGACCATAACGCGTTTGCCCGTGACCACGCCTCTACTCGAAGCAACGGCAAGTTTCGAGCATTCTTGTCCGTGATAACGGTTAATTTCTAGCAGTTACCTATTTTTGGAGACCTAATATCAGGACCCAAAAATAGGAACCAATGGCCAAACATCAGGGGCATTATATAAACCCTCACACTTATGAGAGCCAGATATTCAATATTCACTCTAAAAACCATATATTCTCTCTCGCATCTCCTTGCACTCTTACTTACTTGAGCATCGGAGTGCCTTGCAGGTACACCCCCTCCTCCTTGATTCCAACTTCACAGACGCAAAAATCAGCATACTACAGGTTCTGGTCACCGGTAAGATCAGTGGCGCTGTCTGTGGGAAATTGTTTTCTCTATCTTTCTTTCCCCATAAACTAAAGATCAAAACGACATTTCAAGATTCAAATAATGGTCGATCAAGATGACAGTCGTATCGCTGGCAAAATTGTCATTTCCCTTGTCTTCAAGACAGACAATGGTGGAGAAAACCATTTCCACAAAGATATTCCTCTGAGAGACAGTTGCACCATGTCTCCCTCCTCTAACGAGGTTGAGGACAACGACGTCCACTTCTTGGAAGCCACAAGTCCAAGAAGGTCTAAGAAGAAGCATTAGTCGTCTTCCAACCTATTCAGATACCAGCTAACATTGACTCGACCATGGTAGGGTTACTCGCAACTTTAAATCAGACTAACACTCTGATCCTACAATGAACAATAAGATTATAACCTTTGAGAAACACTACCGCTCAAGGTCTCCTTCGAGGAGATACCGACAACGTGGGTCTCGCAGCCCATCACGAACACGACCAAGTCATTGTTTTACATCAGAAAGACCAAAAACCTTGCTAATAAAGAAGCGCTAGCATACTCCTCCTCGTAGAGATCAGAGTTCCTTGGTCACCAAGAAGATAAAGGGCAGTCAACAGGAAGATAACTATTGTTCGGCCTCTCCCAAGTCGAAGCATCATCCAAGGAGTGTGTCTTCCCGTTGAGACAACAATCCTGACGAGGAAGGAACCATTACTCTAATCCCCCATCACCAGACCGTAGCGAAGACGATGAACCTCGCGGACCGATGTCAAGAGAAATCATGGAGACTCCCCTACCTGTCGGGCTAGAGAAACCCTCACATATGAGAATTTATAATGGAACCACCTATCTTGACGAGCACATCGAGAACATTGATGTCTTGCTCGACTACAGAGGCGTCTAGGGAGCCATCAAGTGCATACTCTTTCCCATCACTTTACGAAAGGGGGATATGGCTTGGTACAAAAGCCTCATTGACGAGTCGATCATGTCTATGAAGAACCTGGGGAAGCAGTTCTCCAGGCACTTTACTGCCTCCCGCCAACATCCGAAATCTGAAGCATCACTGGAGGCAATCATCCAAGGGAAAACCGAATCCCTTCGGGCATATAGAGAAAGGTTCAACTGCAAAGTCGTTCAAGTCTCCACGATTGACGATATGAAGAAATATTTGCTAGAGCACGGGCTGCATCCCCACATTGATTTTTCCAAGGCAGTTGGCATAGAAACACCTGTTACACTAGATTCCCTCCTTCTCAAGGCACATCCATACATCTAGTGTGAAGAAAGGGAAGTTTCTAATAACACACAAGACTCGCGGCATTAGGAGAATGTCAAGTCCTCAAAGCATGATGACTCATCGGCATCTCATTGGGGAGAAGATAAAAGAAGAGACGACAAGCCACACAAATTGCAAGAATACAAAGAGTCAATTGGATGGCTCAACGAATACACTCCCTTGAATGCCTTACGTGAGCACATCCTAACTGACTGTACAAATTCAGATTTCCGTTAGGTCGGGGTTTGCTTTCCGCGACAGACTTCGTCCAAGCTCGGGACAAACAAAACTAAATATTGTCGGTTCCATAAGAGCCATGGGAATACCACTGAAGAATGCATCCACCTGAAGGATGTCATTGAGATCCTCATCCGAGATGGGCTTCTCAAGCAGTACAAGAAAAAAGAAGGTCCCACGAGGATGCCCTTAAATCGCAGAAGGTCGAGGAAGAGAAACCTTTTGACGGCGTCAGCATGCCAGTTGCCATGTGAATTTCTCGCCCAAAGGATTTCTACATCCCCGATAACATCGAGCATCCCTTGTACTTCTCTACACACAGTCCATAGGAGACTTTCACATCCGATATGGTCATATTTGGCGGAGAATTCAACAAAATCATTGTGGGCATAATAAAGAGAAAGTTTGAGCAACTGACAATGCAAGATCCAACAAGAACTCCATCCTGGACGAGTTTCAAGGAAGTTCTATCCCCATCGCGTTCTACCGCAAAGAGCTCTCTGGAGGATCTCCTAACTTGACCATCCATTTGCTCGTGAGGGCACATATGGAAAATTTTGATGTTCGAAGAATTCTGGTCGACCAAGGCAACTTTATCGATATTATGTACTCCCGATTGTTAACCACTTTTCAGCTCGACGAGACACGCCTAACGCCATATGTAGGCTCGGACTTACAAGGTTTCAACGATGCAGTAACTATATCATGGGGCTACATCAAATTGATAGTCACTTTTGGGGCAACAGAAATGGCCAGATCTATTAAGGTTTAGTTCCTATTGTTTGACTACATGTCCCTGTATTGATGTATTATAGGGAGACCAACATTAAACGAGCTAATAGTGGTGCCCTCCATCGTACATCTGAAAAATTAAGTACTACACTTCAAAAGGTCTCGTCTCTAGCCTCCACGGGGATAAAGAAGTCGCAGGGAGATGCTTTGAGTCAGCCTTTAAAGGGCTGAACTCCATTAGAGTAATTGATAAGTGCAAATTGTAGCTATTTTTGTATATACTTTTTGTTGCACTTCTCGACTTTTTATTGTTAATATCGTTGAATAATTCCCCTCTTTTTGTATAATTATATACAAATTGTATTTAATTGAGTTTTTTTGTATTTGTGTATTGTTTGATAGTTTTTCATTCATTTTACAGGTATTGATGCGTATTTGGAGCATGAGCAATAAAGTGTCGACGAGACAACTTCAAACGCGCGATTTTGAGCAACTCGTTAATGAATATGGATCAAAATCAAAGAACAAGAAATCATCAATTTGGTTTATATTTAGGCATTGTTAGATAGACAATTGAATAAGCTTTCCAATGCTTCGAACCATGCATAAATCGGAGTTACGGTTCTCAAGTTATGGCGAAAGCAAGAAGCTGATTTTTTTCTCATGAGAGTAGAGCACGCTCAGCGAGATTTTGCCGCTTAGCATGGTCCCCTGGACAGAATTATGTTAAAAGGGGCAAAAAACACATTTTTTTTAGGTTATATTTTGGGGTATTTGTTCTCAACTCATCAAACCTTCATTTTTTATAGATTGGCTTAGAAAACAATATTAGGGTCTTGCTTATGGATGATTGGAGGTGGATTTCTCTTCGACCGGCGCTGACAAACTAGAAGATTTGTGGTTTATCTCTTCTCCCATCTTTGTATTTCTTTTTGTTGTGTATTGTTTTTATATTTACTTTGAACATATGTATATTTGTTGATCACGA